TGCCTAGGCTCTCTCAGGAGGGATAGCCCTAGCGGAACATGAAAACAGCCCGCGGAGATTCATTGGCACTATTGCTGGCCGTGTGGGGACTAACAGCCATTTGCACTCTTATTTTAAAGCAGGTTGGTTAAATGGGCTAAAGACGGTTGTGCTGTTCACATCACCCAAGTTAGAGAAAAGAGAAATGCAGGCTGGAAGTGGGAATGACAGCGGGAAGGAGGGCAGTAAGAGGCAGGCCAGCGAGCATTTATTAGGCGCCCACTACAGACAGTCCTCCCAGGCCTTCCCAGCGCCATGTGGAGCAGAAGCCCCCTGCCCCTTAGAGTAGGGACGCTGATGGGACCCTTTCCGAGATAAGAGGCACGTTCTGAAAGGCCAGCCAATAGTGCCTGGCCCCACAGAGAGCTTTTTAAGTTTTATTTTTCAATCCAGAATTGAAACAGTGATGTGTTTATTCCTGTGCAAGGCCTGCGTGGGAGAAAGGGCAACCATGCGTTGGTCCTTGAGTCCCAAGTTTGCTGAGATGGGTAGACAGAGGCAGGAGTAGGCCAGGCTTTGGGGGCGGAAGGCCTGAAGCCTCGTGGGGCCTGTGGGGCAAGAGCTTGCCCAGAAATTAAGGGCACAGAGAAGCTTGCAGGCGCATGGGGGTAGAAACCCCTTCCATACAGAGGGAAGGTAATGAGGACTGGGCAAGCGTCAGTCAATGCACGGATCAGCGTCAGCCCCAGGGCCTGAGGAATAGTCTCCGGAGCTATGAGCCGAGAGCGCAAGCTGCAGGATTGCACAAATAACGGGCTAGAGAGCCTGATGGGGCAGGCTAAGGACTCAGGGTCAGAAATGGGGAAGGTGCAGTAAGGACAGCGTGTGCACATTTCCCTGCCAGAGAACGGAGATGGAGGCTCTGGGGACAGAGTGAGACCGGATTGGGCTGGGAAAGAGAACAGGATGTCTGTTGGCTTGCAAGAAGCTCCAGGGAGGGGCTTGAGAGAGGGTGCGGGTGGGGCTCCAGGCAGTGGAGGGGTGTTTTGGGGGGGGCTGGCCTGGTGTGCCCCAGACAGCCCCACCTGCACTTAGAAAGAGGAGTGCTCCTAAGGCCAGAGAGACCGTCGCTAACCTGCCCAAAGGTGGTCTTGTCACTTGAAAAGCTTAAAGAACGTTAAACTGATGGAGAAGAAGAGATTAATAGTGGCCACTCAGAAGATGTTCAGGTTTGCCTGTGTGGCACAGGTCAGAGCTGATGGCCCAGACAGGTGAAAATCATAACAGGCCCTCCTGTCGGGCTCTTGCCAGGTTAGCACCTGCAGATGGGCCCAAACAGGGAGATTTGCTCTAATGGGCAGAGAGGAAGGGAAGAAAGGAAAAGGGAGGGGGATGGGGGTGACTTGGCACCGCGAGGCCCCCAGGAAGCACCGTGGTGAGAACAGGGCCTGCCTGAGCTTCAAGGAGAGAAATCCACTCCCTCCGAGGAACCCGGCTCTGCCAAAATGAACAGGACAGACCTGAAGACACATGGCCTCCGTTAGTCTTCATATTAGAGTTTGAGATGTGAAATTTGAAACAGCGGTAGATAAATGAATTGAGGTGGGAATATGGAGAAAATAGTGATGCAGGAAGGTAAGCACAGAATTTATATTTTAACTATAATCTCACAGTTGCCATTACATTTGTCTTCTCCTCTGTGAACCACTTCTATAGTAGAAGGTTGTGTGTGTGTGTGCACGGTGTGCATGCTTGAGCCATGGTGGCCACAGAGCTCCTGGGACGAAGGAGGGACAGTTCCTTGTCCCCCCACCCCCTGCAACTGTCTGCCACAGCTGTGCCTCCTCCCTCAGCGAGAGGAGCAGGTGCCCACCAGCCCTGCCCTGCATCCTGCCCGCTCCCGGGGCACCTGTGCTTACAGACAGGCCCTTATCTAGGAGCAGACTCGCCACACAGGCAGAATCGAAGCTGAGCAGCTCTTCTCGGCCAGCAGGCCCTCGGAAAAAAGGGAGCAGGTTGGGGATTGCCGTTGTCCCGGAAGCACTGGGTGGCCCGGGGTGATGGCGGGGCAGTGTGTCCTGCCCTCATGGGCCGGGAAGGTACCATGCCCCTGAGCCACATGGCCTGCCTTTCGTGGCTGTCCACGCAGGCTCTAGGCACCCACCAGCCAGTGCAAATATCACTACAAACCAGGCACACTCAGCATTTGTACCCAAGTTCACCAAGAGCTTTGCCAGTTTCACCATCTTACTTCTTTAGCAGAAGCCTGGAGACAAAAGGGAGAAAGCTGGGGATTAGGTAATACTGTTTGGGGAGCCAGGGCCCTACCAGCTGTCTGTCCAGGAGGCTCGGGTCCAGTGGCTGGGCTTCTGCCCCAGCGGTCCCCCCCGCCACTCCCCCAGCCTCCGTCCCTCCAGTCCAGCACACCAGTCTGTTTAAAACTCTTGAGCCATCGGGCCCCTCAGGAAGTGGAACTCACCCTTAAACCCCATTCCAGCTGAGGCTTCCAGCCTCTCCATCACTGCCCCTGCCTCTTGCTGGGATCCGCTACTGCCAGGCCCCTCCTCACACGCTTCCCTTGCCCGGTGAGCCTGTGTGGCCCTTCCTGCGCCCCCCGCCCCCCCACAGCCGGCTGCCTGGGCTCCAGCCTCCTGTGCCGGCTCATCCCAGAAGTTTGGGAGCCCTCCTGGATTTGTCCAACTTTGCTGAACTTCACCTCTAACAAGTAGCCAGGGCTGATGTGTGTTTCTCCTGAATCACCTCATGGACCGTAGCTCCTCCCCTTGGCCTCTGTGACCTCCCACCCAAAGCTCTCACCCCTTGTTGAGGACAACACCCTTAGCCCGGAGCTGACCACACTGTCCTCCATCTGCAGGCCTCCCTGCCCCTCATGGCCAGATGACTCTTTCCAAACATCCCAGCACCTCGTCAGCAGCATGTGCACTTTTGAGGCCAGAGTCTTTGTTGTTGGAGCCAATGTGCAGGCTCTCGGCCCTGTGGGAAGTGCCCAGTCGGTGTTCATGGGATGAGCAGGTTCTGGAATGTTCCTCCGCAGAGACCTTGCCAGCTCCGCTGACTTGGATCTTTCCCTCAGACACCAGTGGGCCCTTTCCTCCTGAGGTCTTCACCCGTGTTGTTCCCCTTGCCTGGAACACTTCTAACCCCGAAATGCGCCTCCTTCCCTCCAGGCCGTGCCTAATAACTTTTAAAAAGCACTCCCTTGAGGGCTTGGAGTCTCCTAAGGGTAGTGGCAGTGGCCTTCAAACGTTTCGCTTGTCCCCTGAAAGAACTTGGGAAAGAAGTGTAAGTAACCCTTTGAACATTTAAGGTTGAAAGTAAAATATTAAGTTGAAATACAATTATTTGTATAAATACGAGGTAAAAAAATACACATTTTTATAAGATGGAAGAGGAGGAACCAATTATTAGGAATAAATACTTGATGATGTGATTCACTAAAATCGATTTTAACCCACTCATTGAATAAGGCACACCAAATCTGAAAGTCATCGTGCAGAACTTTTACTCATGGGTTTTAGCCAGAGTATCTTGAAAATGTTTTAATTCTGGAAGAAATCCCAGTTATGTTTAAAAAGTGACAGGAGTCGTGAGTACACCTCAGTTCTGGATTCAAACCTGCTCTCGCAGGGGCCCCGGATGCTGAGGGCAGGGCAGGCCTGCACTCTCCTTCCGTGAGGGGAGGTGGGGTGTTGTGAATTCAGCCACGTTCGCAGGCAGTCTTAGCTAATACAGATGCTGAGCCTCTGGAAATGAATTCCTGAAAACTGCCAGCGTGCTCCCTGGAAAATGGCTCGGCAAACCCCGCACCAAAGACCACGGCTGCAGAGGAGGTGGTGACTCTTCCCCTTCAGAGAGTTCAGGGCCGACCCCAGGGAGCTGGAACCCCAGAAGGATCTGGTAGTTGGTGCAGAAAGGAATTTCCGTGTGTGCCGTGGAGGGCAGGCCAGCTTCCCTGCAGGCCCACCTCGGACGGAGTTCCTGGCTGTCCGCCCCCCCCGGCCCGCCCCAACTCACACACCACGTGCCCTTCTGTTCCACGCCGGGCGTATCAGGCTCACACCCACACCCACACCATGGTCCGCTGAGCTCTGAGCTGCGCCCCGTCCACGCCATAGATGGCTCTGCACTGAGCACAGAGCTCAGGCAGCTGGCCCAGGGACTCACGGGCTGTGGCGAGGCCTCTCGGCTCCTGGGGTGGCCAGCTCGTCCAGACGCGGTGTGCGTCCCGGATTGGCCCAGACTGCGTCGGGGTCAGGGTGAAGCCCCCTGCCCCGCACTGCTGCCCAGCCCGGAATCGCGCCTCGGGAGCCGGTCCCTTCCCCGGGGCCCAGGAAGAGCTGCAGAGGGAGGGACTCGCTTGGACCCTTGGAGATAAGCCTGGTCCTCCCCCAGGGTGACGCCCTGCTGGCTTTTTATTTTTTAATATTAACTTTATTGACACATAAACTCGCATACCGTACGACTCACTGTGATGCAGTGGTTTAGCACAGGGTTGTGCAGCCATCACCACAGGCAAGCCCTGTTGACCTTCAACCCAACTGCCAAAAGCAAGATTCATTAATTAACACCGAAGATCTCATATGACGAGAATAACCCAAAATGGAATAATCCAGTGAGGGCATTTTTTTTTTCAAGATTTTATTTATTTATTTGACAGAGAGACACAGCGAGAGAGGGAACACAAGCAGGGGGAGTGGGAGAGGGAGAAGCAGGCTTCCCGCCGAGTGGGGAGCCCGATGCGGGGCTCAATCCCAGGACCCTGGGATCATGACCTGAGCGGAAGGCAGACGCGTAAGGACTGAGCCACGCAGGTGCCCCCCAGTGAGGACATTTTATAGGAAGCCATGTCGTACTGCCTGTAACTTATAGACCATCAGCCTGTTTACTTCTGTCCCACCTTCTCATCAACGCCCTGGGTCCGTGGGGCCCAGAAGGACCTTGGCTGCCTCCCGGGTGAGACAGCCACCATCGCTCACCGGCCCTTTGCTCTCTCTCGCCAGGTGTTCCATTGTGTCCACTTTGAGTGTCCGGAGCAGCAGAGCAGCCAGAAGGAGGAAAGCAGCGAGGAGTCGGGGCCAGGGGAGCCCAGCCTGGCCGGCCCCCAGCTCGAACCCCATGCCCTGCAGGCCCCCAGCGGCAGCTCCCTGCCTTCCAGCCCTGGCTCCGCCTCTCGCTCCCCCAACCGGCAGCACCAGTAAAGGGGGCGCCGACATGGAGGCGCGGGTGGGCCCCAAGGGCAGGGGGCCAGGACGGGCATCCTCTCAGGAGGGATCTCTGTTGACCGCCCCCCTCCCCTCCCAGGAGGGGCAGACTGGGCTGCAAAAACGCGGACACAGAACAGGCTTTCTCCCAAGGACAGAAAGGGGCTGCTTTGTTCTCCTCAATTTGTTCAAATTAGGCTGGTCTCCAGGGGGAGAAAATGGGTCTTCAATCTTCATCAAGTCCACCATTAACACCCTACCTCTCTAATCTAACCCAGGCAAAGGGGACAGAAGGCAGCAATAGACGGGCCCGTGTCGGAATACCTCGGCACCTGAGCTCAAGTGCAGGAGGATCCATTGGGCCTTTATGACCTGGAGGCACCCTTTACAAAGCGGGTTTCCGAAGAGTGTTTACTTTTATGGAACACATTGCCCTGGCAACTAAATGATTTTTTTCTTTCTTTTAGTTATTGTCCATTTAATGACTCATAGGTGTTCCAGATCTTTTTGAAATGCTCAAACAGCAAATCACTTGTTTTAATCCCTTTTGACGCTGTAATTTTCCTTCCTTAGTTTTGTACGGTTAAGCCTGGGCTGGAGCAGAGAGATTCTGTGCACAGCTCCAAAATGAGGCACAGATGGCTCATCATGGCACCTGGTCTGACAAGGAAAATCCTCTGAGGAAGTTCAACAAAATACACAATGAGCAAATCAATCCGAGGACACTGGAGTTAATAATCACTCGAATTCCTTAGTTATTAACCTGTCATTCCTGAAACATATCCAGCCTTTAAGCTTGGGAGGCTGACGAGGAAATATTTTGCCACCTGCTAATTTCCTGTTCATAAGTCTGTAAATGTATCTGGAAGTCCACAGCAGCTTCCGGTTGGGCTGAGCCCGCCCCTGAATTACCACCGGTTAGCCGGGCCGTGGAGACGGTGGCCCTCCTGCCAGCCAGGGTCAGGAACTTGAAACTGGGGCTTTGCAGCACGGTCGTGATAGTTCAGGGCTTTCTGTGTTTCACCCCCAGACCCTACTACTCGGCCGGGGTTTAGAAGAAAAAGCCGTTCTAAGAAGCTTTTCTCCTCGAGCCAATCTCCTCTGACTGCCGTGGCCTGCCGTGGCTCTGTGTCTCCTGCTTAGTGACTTCCAGTCCAGCGCTAACTACCCTTTGTAACGTGCTCAGCCTGCTGCCTGGGGTTCACTGGGCTCCACGGAAGCCCGGCCGCAGTCCCCTGGCCCCCCAGACGCAGGCCCAGGCTCTCTGCACACCCTGTGACCCCACTTGGAGGAGGGTGGGCTTACAGGAGAAGGTTCCTTTCCGGGGTCTTAAAGACACATTGGGTTGTGGGTGGACACAGAGCCCCCGGGCCCACTAACTAAATGCTTTCTCCAGTGTAACTTGGTCTTGAGTGATCTCTCAATATGGGAGCAGCAGGGGGGTGTCAAACCACATGATTAAGCAGGAAGGTGGGCTTTCTGTTTGAACATGGGCGGCAGGAGATAGAGGGAGGGGGTGCCACAGCGCCAGCCACAGCTGCAGAGGCTCTGGGTCCCCCCACCCCCGCTCTCAGCTTGTGCATCTGACTCCTTCTCCACCATGTGGGGCGAGTGGAACCCCTGAGGGGTGCCAGGCATCTCACGGGGTGGGAGCGGGGGGCGGAAGCTTCCTGTAACAGATGGTAGGGGCCGCTTGCTGGCCATGGGTGGCCGCCCCGTGGGACTTGGCCACTGCCTTTGTCAGCATCCAGCACGCGGTCGCCAATTAGCGTGGAGAATTCCTGTCCACTCGGCACTTCCTTCAACGGCGCAGTCACTACCCGGCGGGGAGCAGAGGAGCCCGAGAAGTCAGCAAGGGCAGAGTTCAGATGTTTGGAAAGTCTCCATTCAAACTTTGAAGTCGCCTGTCCAGAGAAGAGTCCCCGGGCTTGGCTGGCACCACTGGCCTGGGAGGAGGGGAGTGGGCTGGTGAGGACCTGGAAGGTTCCGGCCCTCTATCCCCAGACTGCTGGGTCCCACCGGCCCACGGCCCACGCCACCGTCTTGGGCCCAGGTCTGGCAGCTCCGTGGCACACCGAAGAGGCACAGGCCGCAGAGCTTCAGCACCAGACCCACGTGTGGGCGCCTCCTGGCCTCCCGCTCTCCCCTGCGGATTCCCTTCCGCGCCCGCACCGTCCGCACGCCTGCCCCGAGGTCTGTGTTGGGGGATCGGAGTTGGTCTCAGCAGATAAGGGAAGGAAGGGGAAGACGGAGCGGCCAGCATGCGGCAGCAGGGGGGACGGGCACATGGCCTCGTTCCCTCCCCCACGGCTGCGGCCGTCGGCTGGCCGCCTTCGTCTCCCGGGCCGGACGGGAGGCCTTGCTTGCATGGAAGCCCGCTCTAGAGCCCAGGCCGACGTGGACGAAGCCCCGCAGAAGCCGCTCTGCTCTACCTCCTGCTGCCAGGCCAGTGGGCTCTGCCTTCCGTGATGGGCCTTCTGATTTGGGGAGCAGGGGGCTCCTTCTGCATATGCCTGGCTGGGCCGGGGCCTTCTGGATGCGGCCGGCAGCCCCCAGTCAGGGTGCGTGGCCCCAGACATGCGCAGATCTCCAGAACCCTGGCTGGCCCTGTGGAGGCCTCCTCCCTGCAGCCAGCTAGACCAAAACGGCCCCCAAACTGGAAGAGCCCCACGGAGCTAAACGGGAGTGCAGACAAGACAGCCTGGTGCGCAGTGGAAGGCCTCCCACGTGCCCGCAGAGTCCTCGCCCTGGCAGCAGGTGGTGGCCACTTCCCCTGTGGGGTGTGAGGAACGAGACCCAGCCAGTCAGCAGGGGGCTGGGGGCAGACCAGGGACCCCGCCCTGTGAGGGTGCGGCCTGGGCCGTAACTGGTTTGAGGAGAGGTCGGGCGAGGCCTGGCCCTGCGTGGGGACAGATAAAGAGGTGCTTGTGGCCTTTGGCCCGTGCCTGGGATGCGTCCAGTTACTAACCGTGGAGCACCACCTTCGTGCCCACTGGCCAGGTCAGGAAGTAGAACACTGCCAGAGCCCCCTGCCCTTCCCTTTAGATCATGATTTGGTGGCAAGAATCACCTGTATTGGGGTTTGGGGGATAGCCTTTGCCTTCTGGCAGCTGCTGGGAGGGCCAGCTGGGGTGACACTGAGCACACCAGGTGGGGCCTGCGTCCACTGCCCGTGTGCGCGCGGGGCTGGCGGCCTGCCCGTCTGCGGATCTGAAACAGGTATGATAGTTTGACACGCACGCGCATGCCCGCCCACACTTGTTCCCCATATTCTCAGTGCTGTTTCTGTTTTACTTCTTCTGACTTTCGTTAGAACTGGGAGCCCGTGATGGATGTGGGACTCTTCTCAATTGCTCTTCAAATTGTCACTTTTTAATCTTATTAAATGAAGTGTCGATTCCTGACAAATACATTAAAAGTGTTTTATTCCTAGAAGAGTTGAGAAAAGAAATTATTTTCAGCAAGAGTGGGATGTGTTTTTGTTAGACTGATCCCTTGGTCAAAAAAAAAAAACCATGAGTTTCTGAATTGTGCAAAAAATGGCTCAGTACTTACGCTGTCGCCCCAATTGTCAAATTGTTGTGCAGACGGCTCCAAACCAGTCAACTTCACCTTTCTTTTTTTTATAGAAGATAACAAAATTGTAATCACTTATTCTTTCTAGAGACTCGGAAGAAAAAAAGGAAGGTATAATCTGCAATAAAAAGCAGAGCATCCTGTGTGCCGAGGACACTTGGTAAAAAGGAGAGGGAGCGAACCCCATTGCGGGCTTCAGTTAAGAACCTTCCTTTGCACAAGGAAGAAAGGTGTCAAAAGAGGAAGAGAAAATTAAATTTGTCTCCTTCCAGGAGTTTCTCCTCATCAGCGTTGGCTTTTTGGTGTTCCCACGTTAATGCCGCCTCCCATGCAGGGCGGCCACTGTCGCTGGGCAGAGGCCACGCTCCATTTGTTTTGGCGGCTGCAGCCATCGATTCTGTGTGTTTGTCCTGACAACAGCTCCAGCAGGAGTTCAGTGCTCATTAGTGGCCCGAGGAATTTAAAATGCAGCTCATGGTTCTGTACCACCATGGTTTTTATTATTATAATATTAAATTAGAAGTCGGCCTGGTGCCTGGTGTTTGCTCAGGACTTTCTGGGAAAGGGGAAAGGAATGGTTTCAGATGGCACGCAGGGCAACTAGGATGCTCTGTTTCTCCTCCTCCAAGTGGACCGGGCAGCCTAATTACTGGACAAGATCCTGAAGCCCTAGTGGTATGAGAGACCGGGTGGTGAGAAGGGTTTGCTCGGAGGATAGACCCGCTTCCCGTATGCCTCAGCCCTAGCTAGCCCTGTGCGGTGTCGTGGGGAGGAGACAGGACGCAGTGATTCTGCTGGTTTCCAACGGACTGGCTGGGCGGGGGGCATGCACCTCCTGCCTCTGCAGACCTGGGAGCTGCGCTTGGACGACTGGGAGCTCCCCTACCGGATCCCCCTCCCTCGCCCCGCGTCCCTTCAGGCAGGACTTCCTGCTGGCCCGATGCGGGCTGGGACCTGCCTCCATAGCAGGGCTGTGGGGCAGGTGCACAGACCAGCTCCCCCCACAAACATACACCTTGAATATCCCCGGTCTCTTAAACTACTCGTTAAAAAATATTGGTAAAGTAATAATGCCCATGGGCTAACATTCCAACCTAGCAGAAGGTCACCCTTGACCTGGGCCAGGTCGTTTCCTCTGTGACGGGCTCATTGCGAGGGGCATGGTGCCCCCTGCTCACCTGCCCCTCAGTCCTCCTTCCTGGCACCCCGGCCTCTCCCAGACGAAAGCCAGACTGTGAAAGGGGCCCTCCCGGCCCATCAGGTTAGTTTTTGTTTTTTTTTAAAGAACTGAAATATCCCCAAGGGGCCTCATGGCCTAAAGATTCACAACCATCCACCTATAATTTGTAAGTGTCTCGAGCATTTACCATTTGCATCCTGAGTATTTATAGCCCTGAGCCGGGAGCGGGGAGAAGGCCTCCACCATTG